AAAAAAAAAAAAACAAAAAACCTATTCTGTATGCTGCAATAATGGTGGATACATGTAATTATTATACATATGTTAAATCCCAGAGAATGGGCGGGGCCTCAGTGGCTCATGTCTATAATCCTAACACTTTGGAAGGCCAAAGAGGGAGGATTGCTTCAACCCTGGAATTCCATACCAGTCTGGGCAACATAGGGTGACCCCATTTCTACAAAAAAATTTAAAAATTAGTGGGGCATGGTAGTGTATGCCTATAATCCCAGCTGCTTTGGAGGCTAAGGCAGGACAATTGCTTGAGCCCAGGAGGCTGAGGCTACAGGAAACTGTAATTGTGCCACTGCACTGCAGCCTGGGTGGCAGAGTGAGACCCTGTCACAAAAAAACAAACCCATAGAATATACACAAGCAAGAGTGAACCCTGATGTAAAATCTGGACTTTGGGTAACAATGACGTGTCGATACAGGTTTGTTGATTGTAACAAATATGCCACTTTGGTAGTAGCAGATGTTGATAATGGGAGAGGCTATGCATATGTCAGGGGTAGGGTGTATATGAGAAATCTCTGTACCTTCTGCTCAGTTTTGCTGTGAAAATTTACTCTAAATGAATTCAAAACAAAAGCAGCTTGTTAGGAAGTTATTAGGGTGCTTCCTCTCTAAATATGAAATTTTTAGAAACGTTTCCACATTTTTAAATTTGGTATTCTTATGTCTGTGACCAAACATTTTTCTAGGGAAATGCATCTCTAATTTTCACAGCAATTTATTTTACATCAAACTTTTCCAGATTTATTTTCTTAAACTGACTTTCTGTCCAAATGTATGATGGAGGTTGAAAGTAAGTTTTCACTCATTGATTACTTCATTAATGGCAGTTATTATTTTTAACTAAGGTATAAATAACCTTAATAAATCATCTTTTTGTTTCCTTTTCAGCGCACTCATGGATAACATGAAACACCTATTAAAGCTAAATAAATTAGTAATGAAATTACAGCAGGTAAACTTACACATTAGGCTGCTTATGCATTCTCATTTCACTCTCAACTTCTTGCTGGTAACTGTATTGTATATGATTAAATAGGATTATCCAAAGGGAATGCTATGATTGGAATTCACTGTCCTTAAGTTCTCTCTTTTTTTCAAAATTCTATTATTTCTGACTAATGTTGAATATTATCTACTTATTATTTAAGCCACTGTCTTCCTTTTGTTGTGTGGAAATAGAAGAATTGAAAACTGGAACTTTAGATAATTAAGGCTAATAGATAAAACTCAGTGATTTAAGTATTACAGGTTTGTCCTTACACATAGTAATGTGCTTTAACTTTTTTATTTTTAATAACAGGAATCTTGGGATTTAGAGGAAAAACTGCTTGATATTAGAAAGAAGAGATTGCGTATGTAGAACACTTTTTTTTTTGGCAGAACATATTTTGCTTACTTTATAGATTGATAAGACCACATTTCTTAGCCACTGAGAAATTTCCTAATTTCTAACTTTCAAATTTCTTAAAATTTTTGATATGGCAGTTTAAAAAGTTAAATGTAAAGTACATTTTGCTCTATTTATCCTCATTGTTTTAGAACTTTTATTTCTTTTTTTTTTTTTTTTT